TATATTGTTTTTGGTCTGAAAGAACACATAGTTTAACGAACGATCGCATGCTTTTAGGCTCATATGGTTGTCGTTAAGGCCCCTACAAAATGATTCCAATGTTGATTGAGTCAAACTTCTAGACCATATTATTTTCATATGGCTCAAAATTTCACATTTGATGTTGTGAATTTTTAATTTAAAAAAAATTTCAAATCAAAATCTATTCGATACCGAATAAGGGGAAGTCAGAAAATTCAAAAAATGAGTTGTCCCTGGGAAATAAGTTGTCCTTTTTAAAAAAAAATCATTATAGCTTTCAACTTTATCTCACTGAAAGCATTCAAACAAGACGGATAAAAAGTCCAGATTTCAAAACTTATTTTTAACCTTAAATTCAGTCTTGCTTGTTATACTAATCAATTGAGCCGCTAAAAATTTTAAGACAATCAAAAGAAATTGTTCAAACTGTTATAAATTTTAAATAGAAACAATTTTCTTCGAAGCTCAATTTTCTATAGAAAAAATTGATGATCAGTCTTGAAAAACCATTTAACTAAGGATTATGAGGACCTTCTGAATAATCAAACTTCACTAAAAACGGCTAATGAAAAAGTTAGTTAACGTGCAAAACGCCATATTCTGATTGCTAGATCCTTGAATTCTAATTGAGTACAACAAAAGATCCAATAAATTGATTTGCTTAAGAGATTTTCATTTAACCCAATAATGGATTTGCTCTGGTTTTTACAAGCCCGAGTGATTTGTAATTCTTACCGGGCCTTGAGTTCTTCTGTGTGGGGCCCACAGTATTTAATCCACTCCCCTTTTTCCTCTATATATTTCCATTGGCAACCGCTTGAGAGGTCACTCCTTGGTCTGATTGTCTGGTACTCGGCTGCTCTGGCATTTGAATTTTTAAAAAATATAAATAAGAAAAGAAATAGTTTCATTTTTCTATCGAGCGAAAAGCATAGGAAAACTGCCCATTACAAAAAAGTTATGACTGTTCCGACTGCCGTTTTTTGTGTCTTGTGTTTTTCAGCGAATGATATTCAATCTGAAAATATCTAATGTGTTGAGACCACGATAAAAAAGTTGGATTGATAATTTTCTGATAACTCTTTGTGTATGCAATTGCCATGAGCGATAGATATAGCAAAAAAAAAACTTTTCAGTCATCTTCAAGGCTGAGAAAAATTAACTAAACAGTCGGAGAAAGGAAAATGTTTTAAAAAACAGTAGAATTTTGCAAACTTCGGACTTAAATTATTATCCTGAGTTGGTTCGTTTTCTGCCTGGTTTGACTGACTTAAAATTATGTAAGACTATAAAACTACAGAAAACTAGAAGAAAAATTTGGAAAGTAGAAGAACAGCTGAATCGATCAAAATTAAATTTTTGACCGAAATTATTGGTTGGATGAGTTAAACTCAATAAAGGGGGAGTTAAGTTTTAAAAGTTTACTTAAAGTTTGGCGCTGATTCACCATGTTTTTGCCCAAAAAAGATTTGAAACTTTTTAATGAGAAGAAACTAAGCACAAGTTTGGATCTGATAGTTGCGTTGATAACGGCAAACTTGTTTTCTAATTTCTAAAATGAGCAAGAACTTACGCATGGTATGAAACCCATAGCCAATAGGAAAGAAAATTTCTCTATTTTCTTGGTCAAGCTATAACGCACAATTGCTTATGTTAACTATCCCGCACTGACATAGATGACAAAATTGATTTTAGGAAAAACGAAAAAACTGATTAGCCTTAAAAAGGATTATCTTAGACAGATTCAATGGTAAAGGCCAGACAATTAACTGATTTATTTGGTTTATTTTTTTTTTGTTTTTCAACCTCTTTAATTGTTCTTCCCAATTGTCGGCGATTGAAATCACATTTTTAACAAAAACAGGTGCTCCAATGAAGATATCGATTCTCCAAATTCAAATTGGAAACAATATTTGTCAACCAATTTTTTGTGAAAAACTTTGGGAATTTGAAAATTGCCAATTTGACCATTCTCTGCCCAATTGTCGGCGATTGAAATCACATTTTTAACAAAAACAGGTGCTCCAATGAAGATATCGATTCTCCAAATTCAAATTTGAAACAATATTTTTCAGCCAATTTTTTGTGAAAAACTTTGGGAATTTGAAAATTGCCAATTTGGCCATTCTCTGGACTTTTGTATGAGCACTTTGTCAAATTTGAAACAATATTTTTCAACCAATTTTTTGTGAAAAACTTTGGGAATTTGAAAATTGCCAATTTGGCCATTCTCTGGACTTTTGTATGAGCACTTGTATTAAGATTTTATCCCGAAAACGTAACGCAAAATTTTTATGCGAAGCGAATTATCCCGCACAACAAAATTGTTCCAAATCGAATTGAGGCTAATTAAATTCCCAAAATTTAATTAGCCGTATCGGCTTAATTAGAATCGTATCGGTTTTGTACGATTCGAAAGTTCACAGTTGAATTTTGATATTGTCCAAAACTTATAGTTTTTCAATATTTTCTTTTCTCAAAAAGTATTTGATTGGAATTAACAGACAGTCTGAATTTTCGGGGCTTTGCCTTGATATACGAGCAATTTAGCTTTTGTTCTTACTTTCGTAACAAAAGTAACGGAATATTTAAGATCGTTGTTTTTTTTTTCTTCAGACAAATTTCGACTTTTTAACTAGCCCTTTTTGACGGAACGTTTTTATATCATTCGAAAGCTATTGTTGTCTTGAGCTTAAATTTGAAAAAATATTTCACCTGTGATTATATTTAAGAAAGTTATGGGGGTCTAAACATTGCAATTTTGCACAATTTGGGACGATTTGTTTGCATTATTAAGGCGTAAATGGAGATTTAACCCGTCTTAGAAATCGTTCCAAATTGATTGAAGTAATCTTTTTTGCCATAATCACTGCTCCATAGACCTCAAAAGGCAGTCGAAACATTCAAGGCTTTGCCCTGATACAAGCAGTTTTGCTTTGATATATAATGATTCATGAGCTTTTAACATTACTTTTTTGTTCTTCCACCGTTTGTTCACCTTTGCTAATATTATTTGAACGTTTTTGAATGATTATATCAAAAATTTTAGATATTTATCAAAAAAAAACTTTTAAGTTGGCTAGGTACAAGTTGGTTAGATACAATATATTTGGGCTACTGGTGGAATGGTTCGAACAAACAGCTGGTTCGAACATACAGCTGAAGTTGGTTAAATACAATATATTTGGACGACTTGTGGAATAGTTCGATCATACAGTTGTAAAATTGATTCTGATATATTCCTGTAGATGTAAAGAAAACAAGACGGGGTATCAGGGCATAAGCTCTTCAATCTTAATTAATTTTAGTTAATAAAAATTTATCTTTAATCTGATAAATTTTAGTTTGAGTTTCATGCAATCTTCACTCCCTCATCAATTTCAAGTGGTATAACTTGATTCTACTATAAAATTCATAGAAAACAATAGCTTGTGCGTTTTCTTTCCAATTGATTGATTAATTGAAATCAAAGAATTTTAGATTAAAAATTTTTTGAGAGCCTTTTTGTCAGTCTGTTTCCAACAACCGTGCGTTCAGTTTACGTAAATTTTTATCACTTATTTTAATTTTTCAAACTATTTCGTTGAAATTTTTGTAAATTTTTCCGTTAAGTCAGTCAGTATTAGGAAAAGTCGGATAAATTTTCTCGGAGAGAAAGGCGTCACGAAAATACAGTTGTTAAACCCAATTAAATCTTGCGCAAATCTAGTTTTGTTTCAGCCATGTTTCAGCAAAACGCTAGCATTGATTCAGACTCTCTACAGTGCAACTTCAAATTTGATCAGAAAAAAGTCAGCTATAATTATCTTAAGTCTGCAACAATACTGAACAAAAATGTTCAAAAAAATTGCTGTTTTTGCTTTTTTATATCAAATCAAAAACCAGTGAAAATATTATTCGTTTCAATATGATGGTTGTTTGTCTTGCGCAATTTTGCGTGAAAAAAAAGACAAAAATTGAAACACACCCGAAGACAAAAGTTCCTGCGCATTTTTATTAGTCTGAACAATTAGTTCGGCATGACACACAAAATGAAATGCGCTGACCTATATAGACTAGTGGTGCAATTACTAAGAAAACGCATTTTAATTAAATTTTTTTGAAAAAACCTTAAATTCATGGTGTTTATAATTTTCCTATCATTATTAACTTTTACCAATGAATAGATTAGAATAGTTTTTTTCAATTATTTCGTGCTTCGCATGCTTTTTGTCGCGGATTTTTGATATGAAGTAAAGTATCCATTTGTCTGACTCCGTAAACTGTTTAGAAGCTTAGATTAATCATTGACATATATATATATATATATATATATATATATATAGATGTTGTTGATTATGTTATCGATGTGAAAAATATAAACTCTCTTTCGAGACAACTTCGTGGCCCAAACTCACATAAGAGGTATCCAAAGGGATCGGAAGAGCCCCTTCACTGTAACTTTTCTGTTAACAGTTTTAGTTTTTTACCAGCATGATTGCTTTCAAACTTTAAGACTTGATCAAGTCATTGGGTTTTAAACAAAATAAATACAAAATCGACGTCGTATTTAATTTATATTCGTATTTAGCATTTTGCATATGAAATTGATATAGTTCATGAGCCAATTCTTTTTTGCTCGTCTAACAGATTGAGAGTTCTCAATATAATGGTACTTTTGTTCACGAATTATTCACCTGTGACTAGTATTATTGTATCATACTTTTCTTATATAATTTATTATGATCGCGTTAAAACCACGAAAGCTCAAAAGCGGACATTAAACATTATGTAATTACTTCTGATAAACAAAATAATGTTTAAACTAAAATAAACTTCAGAAATTTTCAAATCGGTTTCTAGAGGTGTTTTTGAATGAAGCATCGTAGACTGCTACGAGTTGGTTATAACTTTATAAGTATTCCAAATTGATATCTCGTTCTTGAATTTCAAACTCAATTAAATCTGAAATATGCATTTAAAACTGGTTGTTAACTTACAATGGGGTGGTCATGGATGGAATGGATTCTGCGTCTGGTTTGTATGGACACTCACACAGGGCATTCAGTCCATACACCTCCGACAACACCTCCTTGTCGAACCTAAAATAAAATTAAAACCTTCTTTGCATTGGTGCCCTTGGTAGCATGTTTGCAACTTTTTTGTTGTAAGTTTAATTTACTTTTAGTAGTAGTGAATAGTGAAAAAATCAAAACTTTTAGCAAAGAATTCAAAAACTCGAACAAACGGAGTGCTGATAAAGTTTTTTTATTATACATTATGATTTAAAACGGATTTCATAGAAAGGATTTAATACAGATTTCATTGAAAACAACACTTTCAAAAAAGCTGCTTCTTCAACGGAAGACTGATTTTTCGAGCCATATTTTAAACATCAAAACCAAAAAATATGCCAAAAATTAATGTATAGATTTCACAGAGTAAACTATATGCCTTTAATAATATAGTGAGCCCCCCTTGCGCCCCGTAACCTTCAAAGTAGTTCTCACCAGTAGGGGCTTTTCTCCTTATCCTCCAGAAGGTACTTCTTCTCGTGGTTCCTCAGTCGGGGTGAGATGCAGGGGTACTGCTGCAGCACCCCGTCTGTCATCATCAGACACGAGTGGTCCTCCCCGTGAGTCACCTCCGCCGTCTTCTTGTCGTGCGAGTCCAGCTCCGACATCTTCTCACACTCAGTGCAGTTCAACCATTGGGGTTCTAAATATTCAATACAGAATACACTTTGCTGTACAATTAACACAGACGGTTTCGACCACAGTTTTGCAAAAAAACAATGGACAAACGTGCAAGATAATCTTCAAAAAATGTTTGTAAACAAATACCAAGTTTGCACGCACGGTTTTTATGCAATTGCTATGATTTTCAAAAAATTGTATAAATCACTTGCGCTTTCAAAAACGAGGCTCACCTTTTTGTTCCTTTGTTTTGGTGGCTCCAATCCAGAACACTTGTTTTCTAAAACAGCCAATAATGCTCATCATCTGATACCACTTCATGATTTCCAAAAACATAGAGTAAAATCACATTTATTGACTATCAAGTAAAAAACTATTCTCATATACTGGTTTTTGATGATTTAACCCTTCTTAAACAATGTTGGGCTGTGTGAGAGGCTTCTTGTGATAAGTATTACTCATCAATTAAAAAGTAGTTTCAGCGTAATTCTTGATTAATTGAAAAAACCAAAATGATCCATTTTGGGATAAAAACTTGGTTGCGAACTTCGGAGAAAAAAATGCACCATATTAAATCTGATGAAATTCTAAGCAACTTTTTTTCTCTTCACTTTTTGTCTAATCTTAACCCAGTTTGAGAAAAACGCGTTTGAAAATTCAAGTTTTGTTCGTTTTGTCCGGATAATTTAAATCAGCACTGTGCAATAAGAGTACATACGTTCATAATTTTTTAAATTTTTTCGATTGTTTCTACTACGAAACCCCCACCCCCCGCAAACTATATGTTGTGTTAAGTATCCCTCTTAACTTTCCTCTTGCCCCACCCCCACCTCAGGTCGTTTTTCCTCCACATTCTGTATGTGACCTCTCTCTCCTGGTCGGCGTCCTTGAACTGGGCCAGTTGTCCTGCTAGTACCTCCACACAGGTCTGGTTGGCCGCATGGAAGTTGGAGGCGTCTTTGGACAGACAGTAGCAGTACTCTGCTTCCGGACAGAAGAAGGTACTGCAGTGCTTGTTGTACTAAACAGGCAAGTGATACTAATTAATACAAAAATTAATTGGTGAGATACTGCAGAATTCCATACCCTACGCAGCTTATAACTTGACGACATCCTGTTTTACAAAATGGGCTCTTTTTTGAGGAGTGGTAGAGAATTGTGCAAACTTATGTAATCATCTAACTTTGTTGTAATCATAATCAATTTGGAATTCAGGTTTGAACTCATTTCATTCCGTTTTCATCAATTAGTTTCCAATAATTAATTTATGCCTAACTCACCCGTCCAATGACGTCAATGTTGACCATGACGTCACTCTCTATGCTGTAGTCATAGTCCCATCCCTCCCCATAGTCACTGCTGCTCATTCCACCCTCCAGGGCAGATAGCCGACTGTCGTGTGAGAAGTCTACGACGAAGCCGATAAAGATGAGGAGGAAGATTGTAACCACTAGGATAAGGTGCTTGTAATGCGACAGAAGTTGAAATCTAATAAGCAGGAAGCTACTCCTAGTTAATGCTGCATATCAATAGATTCTCATACTTTTAGTTATCTACTTTAAAGTTAGGCTCGCTTTGCTCGTTATATCTCCACCCTGTTACCCTAAATAGACTAAGCGAGGATTGCCGATCTCATCATTGAAGTTGGATTAAAAGCTTTAAGAGAGTTTGTTATAAACTTCGACTCAAACTAACAGATCCTTTCAAGACAAGTTTTGAGGGAAAACTTTTAAAAATATATATTTTGCACTATGTTTCAGAAGAGGTAAAATGTTCAGTTGTAGATTATGTACTGCGCACTTAGTATTAGTTAGGATTTAGTATTAGTATTATTAAAAACTCAAATGTTTTCGTTCAGTCGATTACGAGAAGCGGAGTAACAAACGAGTCTGGTACAGCTGATATATTTCTAATAGTACTAGCAGGGAAGAGAGCTTGCTTTATTCTTAAACTTTTACGTCCATATTTCATTCATGCATTTTTCAAACAGATCCGTTCTCTTCTTAAAGTTTTTAAAGTTTCATATCTTTGAAAAATCTTTTTCAAAATATAAAAAAGATATATAAAAAATATTAAAAAAAGTTTTTCGTTTCCTAAACTTCCGTGCTAATCGCTGTCTGCGCTTTATAACTGATGAAAATTAAAAGTTTCAGCCAAAATTGAGCAAAGTTTCTCGTATCGGGGAAAATTCCTGGATGTTCGGACTGTTTTTTGATTTCTTTGAAGTAGTTTGAAAAAAATTTATTGATAAAACTTTAAAAAAAAACTTTCGAAAAAATTAGAAACATTATCCCCCACACGCTATGTAAAACACAAAATGATATATTTTGTATTTAGCAAAGTATCGAGCACAGTGCTGGCTTAAATTTTCCGGGCAAAACGCATAAAAGTTGCAATGTGAATTGCTGTTTTCTCTTCAAACAAAAAATGAATGAGATAAACTATGCTGAGAATTTTATCAGATTCATAATGGTGCAACTTGTTTTGCGAAATGTGGACCTAAAACGTTACAGCAAAAATGGATTGTTTAAAGTTTTTTAGTCTAATAAAATATACATCAAATCTACAAAATGAAGTACTGTCAAAACTAAATCAAAATGAGCCTCATACGTGGCCCAACAAAAATTAAGAAGAATATAGTCTCGAAAATTTTATAGACTCGTTCAGAAAATGTTTTTAATTAACATATTGGTTTATATACAGTAAAACGATTTATCTTAACTATCAAATTAAGGTAAATTAATTTTTACAGTGTTTTGGAGAGTGTACTCTTCTTTTTAAGGTTTATATAAAATAATCTCCTTTCACGCTATGTACAGAGTGATATAATTTGCAATTAGTTAAGTGTTAAACACAGTGCTGTTTTAAATAGTCAGGAAAAAATGCTAATAAAACTTGAAAATTTAAACACTTTTTCTCGAAGTGGTTGAGTCATAGAGAAAAAATGATGAAGACAAAACTTGCTGAGAGTTGTAGTAGAATCATTATAATTCATTATATTTTGCAAAATTTGGGCCCAAAATTTAATCCTAAAAATGTATCATTTTAAACTTTTTTACTCAAATAAAAAATGCACCAAATCTACAAAATCAATTACAAAAGCATGACTAAATTCAATTTGGAATGATTTCTAAGACTGATTATATCTTCGCTTACGCGTTTATAGCACGACTTATATCGCGCGCTAATTTTCCCAAAATGGCCAAATTGGTAAGTTTTCACCCCCATAACTTGACAAAAAATAATCACAGGTGTAATAGTGTTTTAAATTTGAGCTCAAGACAACAATTCTTGTGAATGAGCCTTAAAATTTCCGTCAAAAATTTGCTAGTTGAAATGTCGAAGTTTGCCTGGCACAGATGTTCTGTCCATCAGAATAACTTTTATGGGATATATTGAATTCTTCTCCATTCGATTTTCATTTTTATTCAGTGAACATTTATGGGCTCTAAAAACACTTATTGTGTATTTCATTCGAGTAAATTATGGCAACTTATAAAATTACAGTGGGGCTACAATTTTTTGATACAAATCTGTGGTTGGGGCAATAGCAAGAACATGACAATTGAAAATTGCTCAATCGATAATTGACACATCTTTATATTTTCTTCATTCTTCCAAAGTGACTCTCTGAAAAGTTATTCCGTTTTCAACAGAAAAATGCTATTATTTAAAAGATTACTATTGTATCAATTAACTGATTCTGAAAAGTTCATGATAGAGTAACCTTCATGATAGAGTTTCTTAAATGAAGCTAAAATTGAATTCAATTATTTAACTAGCCAAAACATGCATCTGTTTAATCAGCCAATCCAATGGAAATATACTGATTAGGAAATATAGAAGTCACTCGAAATCAATTTTTGTCAAATGTCGGTATGTTACAAGGAGGCCGAACTAAAAACAAGTTGTAAGTTTTGATGGGCAACACACGATTAGTTTCTTTTCTATGCAAGAAAACCATTAGTTTTCTGCGGCTGTTAAAGAAGTTTGGATTAATAGACAAAACCTACAACATACACAGTTTTAACATAGTTGCTTAACAACTCAGTTATTTTGCAATTTTGACGGATATGCTTTTGCTGAACTATATCAATGATTTAAGCTATTATGATGAATTTTTCGAGAAAATGAAAAAAGCGTTTTTTCAGGGTTTTCTTGACAATCTCCAAGCCACACGCTTTTTTAATTACTAAGTGATGCATTTCTCATCTACATGTACTAGCAGATCAGTTAGACAAAAAAGCCCATGTTAAACCAATTGGGAATGATTTTAGGGCACTCTAACTTTGGAAATTAACTTGAAGTTAAAAACGAGACTGCTCGTATCAGGGCAAAGCCCTGGTTTATCCGATTGCGTTTTAATTTATATGGGATTTTTTAAAATAAACTTATTAGTGAAATTTTCGTAAAAAATTAGATTAAAAAATTTTGAAATATCCCCCCCCCCCACACGTTGAAATATATATCCCTCTATGAGTACCAAAACCCTTCACACTCCGAAATATACTGAAGTTTCCCCACACTTCGAAATAGCCGAAATATTTTTTGCGCGTTAATTGTCCCAAATCGGCCAAGGTGGCAATTTTTGAATCCCCATAAATCTACTAAAAGCATTCACAGGTATAATAGCTTTCTAAATTTGAGCTCGGGTCAGCGGTAAGTGTAAAAAATCTCAAAAATCTGTGAAAAATGCAGTTTAAAATTCAGAACTAGTCTGGAGAAAAAGCACCCCGAGTACAAATATGTTGTCACTTTCTTCGAAAATTGAAAAAAAAGTAAGTAAGACTGCTCGTATCATCTCAAAGCGACGGTTGTGTTTCGATTAGTTTGGTTAATATTGGCTGATAAAATCAAAAGTTAGGTGTTGAAATTTGAATCGTTAATGGAGTTAATAAAACCAGTTAGCTGCCTCAATTCAATTTGGAATGATTTTGAGGTGAGTGATAATGAAACAAGCAGTTTTAACAATTCTCAAGGCAGGTTACTATAGCAACGTGAACACTCGACTGGTCCAACAGATCAATCCCCCGAGGGAACTGAGTTATGTAGAACTGGTCTGACAAAAAAATCACCCCGAGCATATATATTTCTCAAAAAAAAACTTTTTTTTTCGAAAATTGGAAGGCTGGAAAACTTAACAATTTCATGTATGGATTCGCAGAAATACTTAGTCAATTTTGTTTTCTTTTGAGTAGGAAAAATTCAGACTGGACCATGTTATAGAGAAAAACTATACACTTTTGCATGCAATTGTTTTTTCCAAAAATGCTTATTTGAGCGTGAAAGTGATATTGTGACTAAAATTGAGGAAAAAAAATGTTTACTTCGGAAATTTTTTTCAGCTTTTTAAAAACTGCTTATTATACATTTTTCATGTGTCAAAACTGTTTGTATAGCTTTCCATTCACTCCGTGTATGAAATTGTACTATAAGCTTTTTCTTGTATGGAATTGTATGACTAGCATTTTTTGTGTATGGAGTTCAACCCGAGTATATATGGGAAATGTTCGAAGCGGGTGTAAATTTTATGATTAAAACTTGGCAAATTGGTAAAAAAATGTAGGGGTTGCTTCCATGCGGTTAATAAAATTAACTCACACTCTAGACATGGTAGAGTTTGCAGTTCCAAAGTTGGCATATTTGAAGCTGTATCCTTGCCACTCACCCCCGCCCCTCTCATTCAAAATGCCCTGGTTGTCCCGCTCGCCCCCGATTTCCATGGGCATTCTATCCTGGGGTATTCTAGGTAACAGTTTTTTTGGTAGTTGTCTGATAATTTAATGATTTCTCATCAATTTATGAATTTGATGATGCAGATTTATAATAAAAGTTTTATAAAGAATTTTAAATATAATTTGAGTTTATGAATCAAAAGAGTCACCAAGGAAGAATAAGGTTAAATTTACAATGAATGGGCGCATGTTTTGTAGTTTAGCACGTTTTACGGTGTCATCTTCGAGATAAACTAGATTAAGACTGCAAGCAAACAGAGTTGTCTTAGAAGAGCAGAGTTTCTTAAAGTAAATCTGAAAGACACACAATTGAAAATTGGGCTCTCAAAAGGTACATGGATTTTGGAAATAAATCACGAGTTTCAGTTTATGGTCATATGTCTTGGAAGCAAAACTAATTTTGGTCGGTTACAAAAGTTCATCGTTCGAGGTCATTGCTGTCACCGAAGTAAGAAAATTACGCTATCTTTTAAAATACGCTAAGCTTTTTCAGCCGTGTCATTTTGCCCTATTCAAAATGATTTTCAGTTCATCGATAACAATCAATTGCAAAACTTTTTTTAAAAAAGGTTAACGGCCTAAAAAGCATTGCAAACAAGAATGAAAAAATTGTTGTTCATTTGCAAATGGACGGTAGTTTTTGTTCACATCTTAAAAATATATGATAATGGTTTTAAAGAGCGAAAGAATACATTTAGGTGATTAAGGCACTCAGGGCAAAGAGAGTAGAATCAAAACACATAAATTGTCTTCAAACAATCAACCAAAAAAGGGAGGTGAAAATGACTGATCAAACTATTTTCTAGCGAGGTCATGTACCGTAGAAGAAGACTTCGTGTTTTTAAAAATTGAAAAAGATCAAAAAAGGCTACGAGACCGAAATTCTTTCAAAAGTGATTTTCATAGTTATCATATTTGCAGTTCAAGCGAATCACTGGGATCTATCAGTAGGATTTAACAGACTAGTCGTAGATTAGCCCATTTGTATAACTTCTTTAAACTCCAGACTGAGTTATTTTGTTGAGCGATGTTATTTTTCTCAAAAGCGTTTTTGGGTGTCTAGAGGTTACACATGGTTACACTTTTGCAGCCAAAACTGCTCAGATTGGCGTATACGTACCGCCAGAGGTTAAGAGAGAGCTAGCTCGTTCTCACCTATTATCATTTCCATGGCAGGTGATTGAACATTCTAACTGAAACTTAGGAAGAGACTGCCTTCCCTCAATTCTAAAAGCCAGTGAACAAAACCATGAAATTTTCTGAATAAAACTAAACACTGATTTGTTAACAAATCTAAAATTAAGGCAGGGTTGTAGTATCTTCTTCGTGTGAACGGTAACTTTTTGTAATGTTAGATGTAAAGCTTATTGTTTGGGTTGTATCGAATAGAAAAAAATATTTACTGAAAAATATGTTGATTTGATCTTATTAGACATGGAGGCCGCGTATTTTTTTTCCATTCCCAGTCAGGTATTAGTATTAAAACTTTTTTTGAACTTATGACCTATTCAGATGTTTAGATCAACTTGTACAAAATTTCCAGAAAAAAATCCAGCTATTAAGATTTCTAGAAATACAAGTTGCTTGAGTTTGTAACTAAATATAAGAACTCTGAATTCATACATGGATAAAACCAAAGCATGCTTGAATGAATTTGTGTACTTTCATCATTAAGTTTTTTTTATATGGTGCCAGTGGATAGGTTTTTAGATTCAAACATGTTTTTAGACTCTATGTTTATCAGTACTCAAGAAAAAATCGAACGAGCATCATCCCAAACTTCTTGCTAATTTCTCTAAAAAAAATTTTGCAACCTTTATTTCTAATTCACTTGGAAGCAAAACAGTTCCTTTCACGAAGTCTATTGAGATTACTTTACTAACAAATGAATTAGGTTTCATGTATTTCAGAAATAAGCTGAAAGCATTGAATCTTAATTTGATCCTGGGAAGATGCCTCGACTTATTTTAGCCCAATCGGGTTTTCCTTGCTGTGAAAAAAAAAAGATTTTTCAGGAACTGATTTTTCTTGTTCAATTTTACTTTTAAACCGACTCTGTGCTGTTTCGAGAGAAAAAAAATTATTTGATTTAAATTTGAGGTTAAACATGAATTTTTTAAAATTAGACATTTGGTAAATAAAACTCTCTTTATTTGATATAAGGTTGTTTTTTATCTTTATTTAGTTCAAATGTGTAGATACTCTTTAGTCTAGAAAAACCGAAGGGTCAATAGGCCAAACTTTGCAAAAAATTTTGCTGAGAATGCATTTATATAACGCAATTTTAACTTCCCAAATTAGATGCTTTTCCAGATTTTCGATAAGATTTTGACCTATTGTAAAAAAAAAACTAAAAACTGTAAATGATTTGTGGAAAAGCATTAATAGCATTGTTTTTATTTCGTCAGGTATGCATCCTGTAACTGTACGTGAGTTTTTAATGACTTGTGCAGTTTTCGCGAGAATTTGGTTCTTTGATAACACCTTATTACTTTGTTCTTTTCTTTCTTGAATGATTTATTCATCTGCCGTGAGAACATAATTTTATAGGTTTTAATTCAACTACTACTGAAATATTTTTGTCGAAATTGATTTTCAGGTTGCGGAAACACAAATGGTTAACCAAAATCTAGCCCCTTTTTCTAGACTTCACTTGCAATGATCTATGTATATTCCATTTGAGAGCAAATTAGTGTCATCCACATAGCCTAATGAAGCAACTAGCAAAATAAATTGGAGTTTAGGTCAATTACATACAAGTTGATAAATCCTCAACTATTTCTTATAACACAAATCGACTTTTTTATTCAATCAGTTCCCCCTTGCGGTGAAACATTTAAAAAAAATTGAGACATTTTGATTGCTGTTGAATAAATCTATTGCAAATTTGCTTAACCCATTTTTTTGTTACAAGAAGATGGCGAGCAATAGAGTAAAACATCTCACATTTTCAAAGAAGGTGGCCACCCTTTTGATGGAGGGATTGTTGATCGCAACTTTATTTCACTTTTTTCAGCACATCAGAATCGAGCATAAACATAGGAAATTGCTAACGCTCGTTTTACAGGTCACTTCTTATTTTCATTGAGCTCAACCAATCAATATTTTCAAGGAGATGAAAATGTTGTGTTAAAAAATTTTACTTCGATCGCCAAAATGGGTTTGAACCATATCAACCATAATTATTCAGTAAAATCCTTCGAAAGCCGGCAAGTATGAGCCAAGTATGAAAAACTTAATTGCATTTGATAGATGCAGAATTTTTCTTTCGAAGATGAGCCGTTTTCTTTAGTTGGCGCAAAATTAGCTGATTTTGATAATTTCGAACAAATTCTACAGTGCTGATTTAAATTAACCGGACAAAACGCGTTAAACTTGAAAATTAAAACCCGTTTTTCTCAATTTGGGTTCAGTTTAGATGAAAACTTATGACGACAAAACGTGCTTAAAATTTTAGCAGAATTATTATGGTGTAATTTGTTTTGCGAAATTCGGGTCCAAAATTTTACCCCAAAAATGGGTCATTTTGGCTTTTCTTAGTTAATCAAAAATTACGCCGAAAACAACCAGTCGATCACAGACATAATTATATCAAAATGAGCCCCTTATGTAGCACAGCAAACTTTATGAAGAGTATAATCTCCAAAATATTGTATGACTTAATTTATTTTTGTTTGATAGACAAAAAAGGTCATCAAAATTTGGGCCCGAAATTTGGTTAGACAAAATTTGGGCCCGAATTTCGCAAAACAAATTACACCCTATTAATCCTGCTAAAATTTTAAGCAAGTTTTGTCTTCGTAAGTTTTCACCTAAACTCAACCCAATTTGAGAAAAATGCATTTTAAATTTCAAGTTTAGCGCGTTTTGTCCGGTCAATTTAAATCAGCACTGTAGAAGTTGTTCGAAATTATCAAAATCAGCTAACTTTGCGCCAATTAAAGAAAACGGCTCATATTCGAATGAAAATTTCTGCATCTATCAAATGCAATTAAGTTTTTCATACTTGGCTCGTACTTTCCGGCTTTCGAAGGATTTTACTGAATAATTATGGTTGATATGGTTCAAACCCATTTTGGCGATCGAAGTAAAATTTTCTAACACAACATTTTCATCTCCTTGAAAATATTGATTGGTTGAGCTCAATGAAAATTAGAAGTGACCTGTAAAACGAAAGTTTATGGGTTTGAAAACTATCAATGCGGACATGTTCTTGGACTAATTTCATGTGTGTTTCAAGGAAAACATCCACGACTTTTTAAAAGTTAGAGTGTATCTACTAAAAGAGGCAAAAATTGCGCTACAAATACTTCAAAGTGAATTGAAAAGATATCTTTGATCATATCAATTCCATATAGGAATCAAACTCCAACAACTCTGTTTTGATTTATCTGTTTGGCAAAAAGTATAACTTCAAAAACTTTCAATCGAAGTATTCTAGGGCTTATTTTTTACGCGGCCCCAATACCCAGAAAAATTTAACTAACAGCATGTTTAATCAACGTCGCATCATTTAGTTTTTTCGAGGTGTAAACCCTCTTAGGTCAATTTTTTTGATTTTTTGCAACTATGTCAGTTTAGGACGTTTGGGTGGAAAAAGTATCCGAGACCAATTGGAAGGCATTCAGACTATTCAATTTTTTCCACCCTGGTACGAGCAATCTTCTTGTTGTTCTGAGTATCGAAAAAAGTGCGTAACGTTTATGCTCGGGGTGTTTTTAAGTATTCAGTCCGTTTTCGACTTTTTCAATATGCTTTTACTGCAATTTTTTCATACCATCTGAAAGATGTTACTTTCTTAAGCTGAAAACCAAAAAAAGTTCATCTCTAACTTTTTTTAAGCTAAGGGGGTTGTTTGAAAATTGTGAATTTGGACAATTTGGGACAACTAACGGCCGATATTTTACGTTCTTATAACGCGTGTAAGAGGCAATTCAATTTTTTCCAAATTCAATTGAGGCAAGTCATTTGATTGTTTTTTAAAAAAACAAACTGCTAAATGCATCTCTTTCCCGTTTGCATTAAATTGTGGGAGATATTACTAAAAATTCGATTTTTGTGGCAATTTATTCAAACAAAAAACAATAAATGGGCCTGAAACTGCAGGATGTTTTGACTTAAATTTATCGTCTACTCTTTTGAGTCTTTCATTTTGGGTCTTTTCCTTTCGGAATTTCAGTAGATTGTGTCTGAAACATGTCTAAGCACAACAAGACTGCTATCATCAGGACGAAAACTTGAATGTTCCGACTGTATTTTAATTTCGATGAAGTACTTTAGATTAAATAATTTAATGA